TTCTTCTTGAGAAAAAGTCTCCATTAAAATCTGCATCTTGGACCATTCCCTCTAAAATCAGGAACCAGACAAGGATGCCCACTATCTCCACTCCTATTCAACATAGTACTGGAATTCCTAGCCAGAGCAATTAGGCAAGAAGAAGGAATAAAAGGAATACAAATAGGTAAAGAAACTGTCAAAATATCCCTATTTGCAGACGACATGATCCTATACCTTAAAGACCCAAAAAACTCTACTCAGAAGCTTCTAGACATCATCAATAGCTATAGCAAGGTAGCAGGATATAAAATCAACATAGAAAAATCATTAGCATTTCTATACACTAATAATGAACAAACTGAAAAAGAATATATGAAAACAATTCCATTTACAATAGCCTCAAAAAAAATCAAATACCTAGGTGTAAACCTAACAAAAGATGTGAAAGACCTCTACAAGGAAAACTATACACTTCTGAAGAAAGAGATTGAGGAAGACTATAGAAATCTCCCATGCTCATGGATTGGTAGAATCAACATAGTAAAAATGTCGATACTCCCAAAGTAATCTACATGTTTAATGCAATTCCCATCAAAATTCCAATGACATTCATTAAAGAGATTGAAAAATCTACTGTGAAATTTATATGGAAACACAAGAGGCCACGAATAGCCAAGGCAATACTCAGTCAAAAGAACAATGCAGGAGGTATCACAATACCTGACTTCAAACTATATTACAAAGCAATAACAATAAAAACAGCATGGTACTGGCACAAAAACAGACATGAAGACCAGTGGAACAGAATAGAGGACCAGATATGAAGCCACACAACTATAGCAACTTATCTTTGACAAAGGAGCTAAAAATATACGATGGAGAAATAGCAGCCTCTTCAACAAAAACTGCTGGGAAAACTGGTTAGCAGTCTGCAAAAAACTGAAACTAGATCCATGTATATCACCCTATACCAAGATTAACTCAAAATGGATCAAGGATCTTAATATCAGACCCAAACTCTTAAGTTGATACAGAAAGAGTAGGAAATACTCTGGAGTTAGTAGGTATAGGTAAGAACTTTCTCAATGAAACCCCAGCAGCACAGCAACTAAGAGATAGCATAGATAAATGGGACCTCATAAAACTAAAAAGCTTCTGTTCATCAAAAGAAATGGTCTCTAAACTGAAGAGAACACCCACAGAGTGGGAGAAAATATTTGCCAATATACATCAGACAAAGGACTGATAACCAGAATATACAGGGAACTTAAAAAACTAAATTCTCCCAAAACTAATGAACCAATAAAGAAATGGGCAAGTGAACTAAACAGAACTTTCTCAAAAGAAGAAATTCAAATGGCCAAAAACACATGAAAAAATGCTCACCATCTCTAGCAATAAAGGAAATGCAAATTAAAACCACACTAAGATTCCACCTCACCCCTGTTAGAATAGCCATCATCAGCAACACCACCAACAACAGGTGTTGGCGAGGATGCGGGGAAAAAGGAACCCTCTTACACTGTTGGTGGGAATGTAGACTAGTACAACCACTCTGGAAAAAAATTTGGAGGCTACTTAAAAAGCTGGACATCGATCTACCATTTGATCCAGCAATACCACTCTTGGGGATATACCCAAAAGACTGTTACTCCAGAGGCACCTGCACACCATGTTTATTGCGCACTATTCACAATAGCCAAGTTATGGAAACAGCCAAGATGCCCCACACTGACGAATGGATTAAGAAAATGTGGTATCTATACACAATGGAATTTTATGCAGCCATGAAGAAGAACGAAATGTTATCATTCGCTGGTAAATGGATGGAATTGGAGAACATCATTCTGAGTGAGGTTAGCCTGGCCCAAAAGACCAAAAATCGTATGTTCTCCCTCATATGTGGACATTAGATCAAGGGCAAACACAACAAGGGGATTGGACTATGAGCACATGATAAAAGCGAGAGCACACAAGGGAGGGGTGAGGATAGGTAAGACACCTAAAAAACTAGCTAGCATTTGTTGCCCTTAACGCAGAGAAACTAAAGCAGATACCTTAAAGCAACTGAGGCCAATAGGAAAAGGGGAACAGGTACTAGAGAAAAGGTTAGATCAAAAAGAATTAACCTAGAATGTAACACCCACGCACAGGAAATCAATGTGAGTCAATGCCCTGTATAGCTATCCTTATCTCAACCAGCAAAAACCCTTGTTCCTTCCTATTATTGCTGATACTCTCTCTACAACAAAATTAGAAATAAGGGCAAAATAGTTTCTGCTGGGTATTGAGGGGGGGGGAGAGGGAGGGGGCGGAGTGGGTGGTAAGGGAGGGGTGGGGCCAGTTGGGGAGAAATGAACCAATCCTTGTATGCACATATGAATAATAAAAGAAAAATGAAAAAAAAAATAGTTGTAAAAAAAAAAAAAATCTGCATCTTGGGCTGGTGGAGTGGTTGAAGCAGTGAGAGCACCTGCCTAGCAAGTATGAGGCCCTGAATTCAAACCCCAGTGCCACGAAAAAAAAAAAGAAAGAAAAAGAAAAGAAAACCTGAATCTTAGCCAGGCACTAGCAGCTGACAGCTGTAATCCTAGCTACTTTGGAGGCTGAGACTAGGAAGATTGTAGTTCGAGGCCAGCCTGGGCAAATAGTTCATGAGAAACCCCCCCATATCCAAAATAATCAGAGCAAAATGGACTGGAGGTGTGCCTCAAATGATTGAAGCACCTGCTTTCCAACCTGAAGTCCTGAGTTCAAACCCTAGTTCCACAAAACAACAACAACAACTGAATCTTAGGACCAGGCATAGTGGCACAGTTCTATAATCCCAGCTATTTGGGAGGCATAGGTAAAAGAATGAAAGTCTGAGGCCAGTCCTGAGCAAAAACACCAGCCCTTATCTAGAAAAATAACTAAAGAAAAAGGGCTGAGGGCACCTACATAAGAAAAATTGGGGGGAAAAAAAAAGAAAAAAGAAACTTCATGTTCTCTGCATCTCACTTTTTATTTCCATATTACTGGGACAAAAGTTCCCTTGAATCCTGTATTACTGGGGCTATGGGCACTTGCCACTATGCCGAGATCACTCTCCATTCTTCCTTTTTTTTTAACTGGTTTTTGAGACAGAGTTTCTCTACATAGTCCAGGCTAGCTTTTAACTCACTGTGCTTTGAACTCATGATCCTCCTGCTTCAGCCACCACATTGCCTACTCCCAATTCTTGAAGCACCTGTTTCAGGATTCTGGGACTCCGTATTTGCCTGGTTTTCTCCAGCTTACTTCACTGTATACCCCTTTTCAATCTCTGATAAGAATTTGCCTTCCTTTTTCCGGCCACTGAATGTTAACGTTCCTTTAATGCTGAAAACTGGTGAGGCCCTGGGTTCCATCCCAAGCACTGTAAAAACAAGTAAATAAACTAAATTCTCCACTAGAAAAACTCCCTATTTCTTGTATATGTCAGTAAATGGGTTTAATTTTCACACACTTACCTGGGAATCATCCCTTTCTCCTTGGTTTCCCTGCCCCCATATCCAATCCATCAAAAAATTCAGTTATTTCTATCCCCAAAATACATCTTAAACACCTCTCTTTTCCATGGTCCTGCAACTATATCCTAGATTGTACTTTTCCACTTCCACCAACCTCATTCATTCTTCACATAAAAGCTAAGACATCTTTTAATGATGTAAGTCAGATCATATCACTCTCTGCTTGAAACTCAATGACTTCCCAAGGCATTTGGATAAAAATCTTAAAATTCTTACCAGTCAGAATCTTTGTATCCATTATGCGCTCCTGGCCCACTGCCTAGGGGCTCAGTCCTTGTCAAGGACCTAGAAAAAATGTTGGAGACAAGACAAAAAGAAATGGCTTCAAAATAATACAAAGTCAAAACTGATAAAAGTAACATAATATAACAGCATGTCAAATTCTAAATTTTATGTAATTGTTTATTTATTTTATTTTCCTTATCTTTGTTTATACTTTTTATTTTGTTGGCTATAGTGTGGAATTGGTCCGCAAAAACAAAAGAATATTTTCTGCTTATTCCATCTTCCCTCAGTCCTTCTCCCGACTGGCTCTTTCGCCATTTAGTGCTCAAATTAAATGTCACCTCCTCAAAGGTACCTTCATAACCGGTCCAACTAAAGTAGCTCCCCGTCCCTACAAGCATTTGTTAATCTCTGTTGCTTTATTTCCTCTGTAACACTGCTCTCGCCATCTGTAGACACTTTGTCTGTTTACTCTATCTTCCCCATTAGACTAATAAACTCCATTACAGCAGAAAACTTATGTGTCCTGTTCTCTGTTGTATCCTTAGGGCCTCCTGCACTGCCTGGCCCAGCGTAGGCTTCAACAGTCACTGAACTGATGAATGGATAACCTTCAAGGGAGGAGGGCCCGGCCACAAAGATTTGCCTTGAACTCCATCTTGAGAGGCTTGGAGGCACTCATCTGCCTTGGATCCTACGCCACGGATAGATTTTTATAAAGACCTTTAGACGATTTTTCCCAGCCAAGGTTTTGATGAGAACTCTTGTAACTTGCCCTGTAGGGACAGGAGCGGCGGGGGGGGGGGGGGGGGGTGTTTCGGGGCGGGAACTGGTTCAAAATAGGTGAAGAGAAGGGAAATGGGCAGGTATGTAGGTCTCTAGGTTTGGGCTCATGACCTGCTCCCACCCCTCCCCCAAATGGTGACGGTTCCAGCACCTTCCTCTTCAACTTGGTGTGGAAGAGGGGCGGCGGCCAGGGTTCGCGCTGGGAGAGCCTCACCCCTGCTGGTTACTCCTGAGAAGGAGGGCACACTCTAGGAGAACCTTACTATTCATGAGGGGGCGGGGCCTCCTTCCCGCGGAGGCTTCTGGGAGGGATTGAAGTTATTCACAGGGGAGCGCATACAGAGCCGAGGCTATTGCTATTCATAAGAGGGCGGGGCCTCCTTCCCGCTGGGGCTCCTGGGAGGATTCTAAGATATTCCTGAGGTCACGGGGGCGCCCGCGAGGCGGGAATACCGGTCCGGTGCTGGCTGGAGTCGGACTCTCTCTCTGGCCCACGGGAAAACCCTGAGGAGATATTTTCATTTTCAAATATTAAGAAATTTGAGGATGGTGGGAAAAAACGACTAAATCCCACTTTGCTGTGATTCTTTTGCCGGAAAATATCGAAATCTGTGGTAAAAAGAGGCGTTTTGTTTTGTTTTTCTTGTTTTCCTCAATACTTTCTTGTGGAAATAATTTCGTATTTTTCCAGAACTGAAGGGGGTAAAAAAATGTATTCACCTTGTGATTTTAGTCTCCTGTTGGCCACTTCGTCCTTTGTAGTCTCCTAGTTTACCTCTTGGGAGATGCTTGGGGCTAATACCCGAAAATTTCGGAGTGGGTCTCCTCACCGATGGTTTAGTTTTTGTTAAAACAAATCCCAACGATTTGCTGTTGGAAGGCTTTTCTCTAAAAGGGTTTGGGAAAAGTGCACCCAATAGGCCCCCAAACCCCACCACATACAGTCAAAAATGAGCGACCATTGAAAGCATTTTCTTACCATTTTGAGCTGTGAATCTCATTCTTGTTGGGGGGGGGTGGAAGTGAGAGGAAAGCAGAAATAATTTGGGGTATCTTTAGAATTTTTCAGAAAAACCTGTTGTTCCCCACCCTCCCTCCCCCGCCAGAAAAGCGTCCAGATCTGAGTGAGGAAGATAAGGAATTAGAAGAGGTGACTTGAGTTTTTAAAATAATTTGGGCCCGTGATTTTCTAATTCCTCTCAGAGGTTTAAAAATATATGTCCATAGTGGTTGACACCCTAAAGTCCCCTGATGGGGAGTGACTGAGTCCTGCATCACACAGTTCCCATCACAGGATCCATCAGTCCTAGGCCAGATCGGTATTTTATCACCATGAAAATACGGTGAAACGTCAAAAACACTCTTGTGAATTAAATGAATTAGGATTCTTTTTTCTTGGTAGACTTACATGCATATGTACATGGATTAAAATATGTATCCTTGTAGGAGTGTATTTATTAGCATGGAAAGAGAATTCATTGAAAAAAGCTAATCACAAAATAGTATAAATCCTTGTCCCTATTTTTTGTTAAAAAGAAATATATGCAAAATGCCAGAATGATATAAACACCAAAGTGTTTATACATGAATTTAACTTTCTTCTTTTGATTTAGCTGTAATTTGTAAATGTTTGGCATGTTTCTTGTGTAATTTTAATGATTTTTAAAAATCATCTAATTTAAATGTTCACTGAATGCTGAAACAAAGCACTATGGTATTGTTTTAAAGGAGGTTCAGTTTATCCCTTTAACTGAGCACTAAATTTCTTTGCCCTGTTTTCAAATTGACATAAATTGAATTGTAACCTTACAAGATGTATAAGTAACAGTGTGATTTTGGCAATTTTGTATAAGAAAGGAAAAGTGCATTTGTAACTCTTTGATAAAATGTCTTACTTGTTACTCAAGAAAAAAGGAACCTTAAATTGGAATTGTACAGGCATGTACAAAACAAAATATGTTGCTTTCTAACTGGAGAGATAAAGTGACACATAATCGCTAAGTATAACGTATAGTATGTCTTTAAAGAATTACTGCTTGTCGTAAGTCAACAATCAGTGATTTTAGTAAGTTATCTTTAATAAGTTCCCTTTAGGAACTGTCTTTAAAACTGAGTTGCTTAGGCTCTTCCTAAGATGTATCAGTGACTGATATTAATAAAAAGTGAAACTGAGGGAAGAATTATTATTCATCTATTTATGCTAGCCTTATTTTTATAAAACTTTTAATTTTATAAAAATTTCACTGCTTATTTGTATATTATACTGCATATAATAGGTAATAATATTGCTACCTATTTAATCTGTTAGAGGGAGTACATTTAAATAGCTCTAAACTTTTAATGTCTATTTTTCTTTGTTTTTACTGTTTCTAACAAAAGAACATCTCATTTATTCAGTTTTAAAGTATTTAATGATAGATATTTTATTATGGGTTTGTTCTTGTTTGTTTTGTTTTTGTGGTGCTAGGGATTGAAGCCAGGGACTGAGAAATACTAGGCAAGTGCTCTACCACTAGCCTTGACAGATATTGAATATATTTTATGTTATATTGACTTTTACTGTTGCATTTATTTTCTTTTTTGCTTATTTTTTTCATGATATTCCTTCTTTACATATCAAAATCATACTGAACAATGAATCCAGGTTACAAAAGAGGATTTATTTTTTATACCTGTCTACAAGTCTTTGTCTACAAGTTAAATCTTTTACTTTTTTTTCCCTATTTTGGATTTTTCTTTTCTTAGAATATATCTCATTCAAATACATGATTCATTTCCTACTGAAACTCTTACTGTATCTAGAATATTTGATCAAGAGATAAAGGAAGCTGGGGGCCAATGGCTCACACCTGTGATCCTACCTACTTGGGAGGCTGAGATTGTGAGGATTATGGTTCAAGGCCAGCCCAAGCAAATAGTTCATGAGACCTCCCCTCACCTCCAAAATAACCACAGCAAAATGGACTGGAGTGGCTAAAGTGGTTAGAGGGCCCTCTTTACAAGCATGAAACCCTGAGTTCAAACCCCAGTCCCACCAAAAAAAAAAGAATTTTAGATGTTTTCAAATGATGCTAAGATAAACATACACTGTTGGTGTATATTAGAAATCATAGTAAATTACACATCATAGAAAACTTTTGTAAATGTGGAAAGATAGGTATTGCCTACGAAAGTGTGGCTCTCTTCATTAAAAAAAAAAAAAATGACTGAAGATGTAGCTTAGTGATAGAGTGGTTGCCTAGCATACATAGTCATTGGGTCTGAGCCCCAGCATGAAAAACAAAAAAGAAGAAGAAGAAGAAGAAAAGCTTCATTCCTTTAATTTCCTTTTCTCTTTGTCTCTTGTACTTTGTTTTTCTAAACAGGATAAATTAATGGGATAAGAAAAAAGATGACATCTAAAATAAATAACAATTTCACTTTGATTCCCAACGAGAAATATAAACGTAGCAATCGTCGATCTACCTATACTTCCAACACTGCCAATTCAGATTCTCAGCCCTTGTCAACTCTTGGACATTTTAAAGCCTTACCATTGGAAATATTCCAAATAATTTTAAGATATTTGTCAGGTGAGGTTGGGTGAGTAGGCTACATGAGACACTAGAATATTGTAATTTTTCATAAAAACTAGTTTATCATCTCAGGTTCTGCTAAAATATCAATAGCATTCATGCTAAGTTTATTTTCTAAAGTTTCATTATTGTTAGGTAGGGAGTATAATGAGAAAGCACAGTGCTTAAACTCTTTGAAGTATATCTGCAGGCCAGGTATGGTGACATATGCCTGTAATCCTAGCACTTAGGAAGCTGAAGCAGGAAAGTTCCAGACCAGCCTGGGCTATATAGCAAAGATCCTGTATCAAAACAAAACAAAAACAAACAAAAAACCAAGAAAAAAGAAAGAAAATACTCCTAATGATTATGAAGTGGTAACTTGATTGTTAGATACCACCATGTTTCTAATCGTTGAGAACTGGATTTAAAATAATTTTAAGATTTTTAAGCATGAGGCCATGTGTTCAAACCCCAGTGCTGCCAAAAAAAATGTACACACATGTGAATAAATGAATAATAAAAAAAAAATCTGACACTTTATCTGGGCACTGGTAGCTACTGGAGGCAGAGATCAGGAGGATCGCAGTGCAAAGCCAGCCCAGACAAATAGTTCATGAGACCCTATCTTGAGAAAAAACAATCACAAAAAAGAACTGGTGGAATGGCTCAAGGTGTAGGCCCTGAGTTCAAACCCCAGTAGTGCAAGAAAAACAGATCTTTACCACTAGGCTTATTATTAGTTAGTCAACTTATAAGTTAATTGTATTAATCGTGATGTCATTCATACATACATATGTGTTTCTTTTGCTAGTGAAGGATGTCAGCATGCTAAGCATGGTGTCCAAAACAGTCAGCCAGCACATTATTAATTACATCTCAACCTCATCAGGAAGTAAAAGACTTTTGCTACAGGACTTTCATAACCTTGAGCTACCTGGCAAGAAAAAGGATTCCGCTATATTGGAACACTACAGATCTCTGGGTAATTTATAAAATGAAAATTACAACAAATAAAGAATTAAGCTTAATTAAGAGGATTTTATTATACATTTCTGTAAGGCTAGTGGAATATAAAATATTTCCTAAAATGTGCATGTTTCTATGATGTTTTGATTCTTCAATGTGAAGACTTTCCCTTAACACCAACGGTTCCTTACATTTATCTTTAAAGATGAGAAAATGCACTTTAATGTAAAGTGTCAGTCCTTGTGATTTCATGTGGATACAATGTCACCTATGCTTATTGTCTAGGCGGCTTACCAACCACCTACTTTTCTATGCTTTACTTCCTATGGATCTAAAAGTTTTATCTCTGTGTCTTTTCCCTTTCAACTATAATCTAGTCTGTAAAAAGAGAAATTTAAACACATTATTGTGGAGGATCATTTATTCTCCTATCAGGATCTATTTTCCTTTTTAAGCACTCTACACATTCACTAATAAATTATACTATAATTAAGTTGACCTCACCAAAGGAAATTTTGTATAATCTTTCTTTCCTTGATATTTTATCATGTATATCTTTTATCCCATTAATTTATTTCAGTTTCCCTAGAGTGCTAAAATAAAATTCTGATTCTGATTTGACTAATGACACCAACGTAATTATGAAATACTTTATAATTAACCAAAGCATGGGAATAAAAACAGATATCAAGATGATGTTGAGATTTAAATATGGGCAGGTAGCAGAGGGAAACAAGTGGTAGAGCATCTGCCTAGCAAGCATGAGGCCCAGAGTTCAAACCCCAGTACCACCAAAAAAATTAAATATTAAAATAAAATAAATATGGGCATAATAGTTGAGTGGATATTGCCTTTTAGTAGCCCAAAAATGTCTAGCTTTAAGGTAATGAAATAAGACTATTGTTGATATGTAAGTATATCAAAGTATATTGACAAGTGCATTTAAATATAACAAATGAAAAGTATGTAATTCTGAATACAAATGCTGCTGATTTTCAATGTTTATGACTAGATTTGGGAAAGCCTGTAACCAAATGTGGCTATTGCTTTTTGTCACTTCTAATGGTAAATAACGTTTTGGTTTTTTTTTTTTTTTCAAATAACACTACTAGATAATAGAACTTGTCCTTTGGTTTTGGTCTGAAAGAATTTCTTTTTTCCTGATCAAATTTTAGTTGCTTAAACAAACTCAAAATTGTATGGGTTTGGGGATATCTCAGTGGTAGAACACCTGCCTATCCCTGTTTAAGGCCCTGAGTTCCATCCCCAGCACCACACAAAAAAACAAAAGAGACAATTATATGGATAATTCAGTTAAAAGATACAAATATGTATTGATTCTACTAACCGGCTTTTTAAAAACGATATTATTCTTATATTGATTTACCCTTCCATTTAATTTTGCTGTATACACCTAGTTTATAACAGATTCATTTGGTAAATATTTGATGTACCTACCATTTTCTTGTGTTGTCATTCCTATCTGATATGTTCTTATTTTCAGACATTCAAATAACATTTGCAGAATCCTTCACTTTGAAGATTATAAATTTTAATTTGGTTTTTCATATGTAACAGAGCAGATGGCTAGTATGGAAAGAACATTAGGTCTGACTCTATTTTAGCAGGAAGAACTTAAAGAAGTTGGTCACTAAAAACAGAGCACCTGTGTTTAAAAAAAAAAAGTCACCCAATATTGGGTTTTATGATAAATTGCAGCCATTAAAAATAGGAGTTTTACAGTAGAAAAGGCTTATAGATTCCAGTCCCCAGCTATGGTATGCCATGAGACTAGATGCCAAAATATGAAAGGAAAAGAACTCAGCCTAAAAACCAAACACTGAAAGTGTCTTTTTATATACAAAAATGAGGAGGGTTTATGTTTAAAATTCATTTCTGATCATGTGTTACCCAAACATAGCAACTTCTAAAAATAAATTAGATTCCTATAGATTCTTCAGAGTTATATAATTATTATGTAAAAAAGCAAATTTGGAGAAGATAAAAACTGAAGAAAGTCATGGTATTCAACTATATATTTTCCTACCATGTATATTGTTTTTAGTTTGAGGACATTTGTTCTTATAGGAATGTTAACAATGTATTGCCATTTTAGGAAACAGAACTACTTAGGGGAAACAAATCATACATATTTCCTGTCACTATAGTTCAAGTCACATCTTAATGAGAAATTGAAGGAGTTTTTTTCCTCTTTTTTAAAAAAGTATCTGATCACAAAATCCTACACATTCTTAACACACAAGCCCCATAAAAGGATATCTTTGTAGGAAGATACAGATAGCTAATCCAAACCACATCCATATTCTCTGTGAACAAAAATGACTTGTAACCTCTGAAATTTTAAGTACTCCGGTCTTTAAATTTTTGTATTTGGAGAAACGAATACAAAATCTCTTTTCCCATTCTTTCCATGTTTTACAACTCATAAAATATTTTCCTTTGTGACATGAGATTGATTTCAAGAGATACTGGAATCTGTTTTCTATGGAATAAAGACAAAGTTTCCCTGATACAGCTTTTTATCTTATTATTGTATCTTTTTAAATCTAAATATTTTCTACTTCCCTACAGTGTCAACTTCATTTTTTGCAAGATGTTAGGTCAAACTTCTTTATTATTATTTCATCATTTTTACATAGGTCAGACTTCTTAGATGGACATAAGAGTCACTTGATGAATACCTGGTAGTGTAAGTGTTTTTTACCCTCCCTCCCAAATGTTCTTGTGAAAAACTATATTATAGTCCACAGTTGTACACCATATTTGACTTCCAGGAAGCATAATGTGCTATTGAGAGTTTAAATTAATTGCATTGTCTCTTTACTTTCTCAGGTCTACTATTTAAAAGATGCACGTTGCTGCTACCCACCAAGGAAAGACTAAAATACATTCACAAGATGCTTTCAGAAGTAAGATCATACTTCTGAATTAGTTCACAGTTCTGATTTCCAATAATTATTTGTGTGTGTTGGGGAGAGTTGTTACTGGAGATTGAACTCAGGGCTTGCACATGCTAAACCTACCTCCTGGGCCACGCCCCTAGCCTGATATATTACTATAAATCTAACTTTAATTATTAGAATTTCATGAATTAGTACTATAAAACTGATCAGTGATAATCTAATACTTTGCCAAGTACTCAGATTATATAACACCAAAATGTAGCATAATACAGTCATCTCCCCTTATCACACAGTCAGTGCAGCCTGAAAATATTAAAGGGAAAATGCCAGAAGTAAACAATTCATAAGTTTTACATTGTGCACTATTCTGAGTAGCACGATGAAATGTCATCATCCTGCTCCATCCCACCTGGGATGTGAGTCATACCTTTGCCCAGTGTATCCATTCTGCATATGCTGCTCCCTGTTAATCACCTAGCAGCTGTCTAGATTTTCATACCCACTATTGTGGTACCACAGTGCTTGTGTTCAAGTAACCCTCATTTTACTTAATTTTGGTCCCAAAAGTAGAAAAGTAATGATGTTGGTAATTTTATTACAGTATATTTTTATAATTGTTTTACTTATTATTATTGTTAATCTCTTACTATGCTTAATTTATAAATTAAAATTTACCATAGCTATGCATACATAGAAAAAGCATAGTAAAATATAAAATATTTTTAAGAATACTGAGGAAGTAAAATTTTGGGGGGCAGTATGGAATTTGAACTCAGAGCTTCATGCTTGCTAGGGAGGGTCTCTACCACTTGAGCCACACCTGCAATCCATTCTGCTCTGGTTATTTTTTGGAGACGGGCTGGCCTTGAACCCCAGTCCTCCAGATCTCAGCTTCCCAAGTAACTAGGATTACAGGCATTGAGCTGCTGGTGCAAGGCCTAGGAAGTTATTTTTATATTTTAAAATGAAATCATTTCTGAATGTTCTAATCTTATTTAAATGTACAAAAACTTAGAAAAGTTCGTGTTTGTTTCTTTGTTTTTTCCTGGGGATGGAACCCAGGATGTCTCACATGCTAGGCAAGTGCTCTACCACTGAGCTACCACTCCAGCCAGGAAAGTATTTTTAATGTATAATATGACAAACCAATTGGAAATGTATATCAGTGTATTTGGGCATAATCTTGATATAAGACTGAGTTTTTTAGCTGGGCACCAGTGGCTCACACGTGTAATCCTAGCTATTTTGGAGGCTGAGATCAGGAGGATGTTGGTTTGAGGCCAGCCTAGGCAAATAGTTCAAGAGACTCCCATCTCCAAAATAACTAGAGCAAAATGGACTGGAGGTGTGGCTCAAGCAATAGAACTTCTGCTTTGCAAGTACGAAGTCCTGAGTTCAAACCCCAGTCCCAAAAACAACAGAAAACGCTGAGTTTTACTTACAAATCCAAACATACATCCAATCTAGTGGTTCAGTTCTATGCTCAGTAGTCTGCAACTTATTCTCCTGCACTGTTTTCCATGCAGTATTTGCACTGAGTTCTGATCTGCATTATTGGAGCCGCTTCCCAGATAATCTTTCTGTCATCCATCTTGCTACTCGTCAACTGTCCTGTGAACCAATTCAAGGTTTTTGCCCCCAACCCAAAGCATCACATTCAGCAAGATAACTTTCTCTCTTCAAAATCTTTCAGTGGTTAGGCTGGATGAGTGGGTCAAGTGGTAGAGAGCCTGCCTAGCAAGTGTGAGGCCCTGAGTTCAAGTCCCAGTGGTGCCAAAAAAGAAAAAAAGAAAATCTTTCAATGCCCACTCGATTTCAGCAAAATAAAGCCTAAGGTCCATAGCTGATTTTTAGGGTTCTCCCAACAATGCTACTTTGAGCCTAATTAAGCTGTTAATATCTTTCATACCAAATAAACATTGTTGACTTTGGCCTTATTGTTTCCTCTCATCAATACTTTCCACTTGTTACCTCTGAGTCTTACTTTAAGGCATTGCAGCCAGGCATTGGTGTCTCATGTTTGTAATCCTGGTTACTCAGGAGACAGAGATCAGGAGTTTCATAATTCGAAGCCAGCCTGGGTAAATAGTTTGTGAGACCCTATCTTGGCAATATCCAACACGAAACAGGGCTAGTGGGGTGGCTTACGTGGTAGAATGCCTGTCTAGAAAGCGTAAGGCTCTGAGTCATACCCCAGAACCACAAATTTTTCTTGTTTCTATTATAAGCTTTTTTTTTTAAATTTTTTTGCTGTACTGGGATTTGAACTCAAAATCTACACTTTGAGCCACTCCACCAGCCTTTTTTGTGTGTGCGTGTTAGGTTTTTTTAAGATAGGGTCTCACAAAGTGTTTCCCCAGACTGGCTTCATATTGTGATCCTCCTGATCTCTGCCTCCTGAGTACCTAGGATTTATAGGTGTGAGCCACCATAACCTGGCTTTTTTTTTTTTTTTTTTAGACAGGGTCTCACTATGAGGCCAAGATTGGTCTCCAATTCACACTTTGGCAGTACTAAGGGTTGAACTTAAGGCCTTAAGCTTGCTCTATGTAGCTGGGATGACAGGTACACACCACTGTGCCCAGTCATTGCTTGAGATGGTGTCTTGCTAACTTTTTGTCCCAGCTAGCATTAAACCACCATTGTCCCCAGTGTCTGCCTCCCAAGTAGCTAGAATTACAAGCTTGAGCCACCACACTTGGCTCAATAAGCTTATTTTAATCATTCCCAAATTTATCTTTTCCCTGTTTTCATATTGTCTGATACAGTATTTATTCAGTCATTTTAACATTTATACATACATGTTCTAACCTGAATTATCATAGTAATTTCACACATGTATATCTTATTCTTCTATATAAATTGTGAGCCCCTTGGGGGCAGAGAATTTATTTCATGCTTCTCTAGTAATCTCTGTCTGTGTAACACAGTGCTAATCAAAATATACACTAAAAAAATATTGCTTATTTCCATTAAATTTGAGTATCTAATCATTATAAAAATCCACTGCAAAGGAAGAATTAATCATTGGTCTCTTTACAGGTTTCCTGTTTTAAATTCAATGGCTGTCCAGCTCCTATGCAATGTTTAGGATTACCATGTTATGGCATGTTTTTACAGGTACAATTTTTAATGAAAGAAGAAAGGAATACTTTTTGAACTGTTAACAGTAGAGCGTGGAATCTATCCTTCTATAGGTTAACAAAATTATAATAAAGACAGCAAAATAAAATTGTAAAGAATATACTAAGCTAATAGTGTGTGGCCATCTCAGATTTTCTTATGTTTCTAATTGGTGTGAAATGTTTGACATTTATTTAACTCTATACCAATGTCCTCGGAGTTTCCGGCCTTTTTTTTGTGTGTGTATGTGTGTGCTGATGTTCGAACCCAGAGCCTTACACATGCCAGGCAAGCACTATACCAATGAGCTACATCCCCAACCTCTATCTAGCCAATTTACAAACATATTTGCTAAAAATATTTTGGAGTGGTATGTGTGTATGCATGTACTTACGTATATAGTGAGTTTAAACTCTTGGACTAGTTATTTAAGGTCTGATTTTAGAAATCGACTGAATGATTTCAATAACTTTTTTTTTTGGCAGTACTGGGATTTGAGCAAGCTGTCACTTGAGCCATATGCCCAGTCCATTTTGCTTTAAGTTATTTTTTAGCAAGGGTTTCTCTCTTTTTTTTTTTTTGGCAGTACTGGGGTTTGAATTCACATTTGCTATACAGGAGCTCTCCCACCTGAGCCACCCCACCAGCCCAAGAATGTTCTTTTGACCAGACTGACCTGAGACTACAATCCTACCTATGCCTGCCACGTAGCTGGGATTACAGTCATGCACCACCACATCCACCCACAAGAACATTTTTGATTGATCTTCTATTGTAAACAAAGAAGATAAAAATAAGAATTAATATTTATTAAGCCTTTACTATGTGCCAGGTAGTATTCTAAACATTTTTCAAGTATTATCTAAATTAAAACTTTCAACAACCTTAGGAGAAAATCTTGCACATATCTGAGCCTGCCAGCCACAAATTCCTACACACCAAGATTCCAGGACCTCCTAATTTTTCCAAGGCAGATTTTTACTTTTTTCAATTTGTTTTTGTCTGTCTTTGGAATAGGTAATACATACACATGTATTCATGTAAAATTTTAAAAGTACAAAATGTATAAAGTGAAAAGTCTTCTTCCTAGGCCTGTGCCTCGTACTGATTTCCCAGATTGTTTCAACAGAAATAACCACTGTTACAGTTTCTTTCCTTTCAGAAAGAATAAAATTAATTTCTTTTGGAGCAGGGTACTGAAGATTAATTAATTTTTAAACTACTAAAATCCAGTTAATTTTTTTGTGTGTGTGGTACTGGGGCTTGAACTCAGGGCCTTCACCTTGAGCCACTCCACCAGTCCAAGTTTTTATAATAGGGTTTTTCAAGATAGGGTCTCTCGAACTATTTGCCTGGACTGGCTTCAAACTGCAATCTTCCTGATCTCTGCCTCCTGAGTAGCTAGGATTACAGGAGTGAGCCTACAGTGCCCACCTGGTTAATTATTTTAAGAAGAATGTATGTGATTAACCAACTTTTCAAAATCTTTAGTTGTGTATACCTCTTGAATCTCCTTTTTATGTACTATATGCTTGTGCATTTTAGTATGTTGAAAGATAGTTACTAAATTTTGTCCTAATTAAAGCTTTTTAGGTTATATCCAAAAATCATAAATCGTCACACTAAAGTTAGATCACTTGTAAGCAATATCATAAATGACAGCTGGAGTGAGGGGGTCGATCAAAGGAGCTCTACTATAATCTTAAAACTAAGCCACAAATCTGGGCAGATCGTCACCAGCCTGTGATACTAGTTCTCAGCCTGAGTTACATACCTGTCTCAAAAAAACAAAAAACAAACAAACTAGAAAGTAAGACACAGTATGAATGACTGTGAGTCGGATGTCTTATACTGTGTTCTAGGGTTTTGATCTTTAATTTTCCCCACACTGTCAAAGTTTAGGAATCAGTACCATTTACAAGTTCTCTAAAAAGATTTAAAAAACCCTAATTTTGGAGCATTTGTAGGTTGTGATTATGTAAATTTCTTATTAATTTAAATAGTTCTCCATAGTGGAGCTATCATCACCTCGACCATGTGCTAATAGCAGTTATGCTCATAAGGGAGTGGTGACTTACATTTTGATTTGATAGTCTGAACACCTGCAATGTTTCCTTTATCTTATTTTCCTCAGAGCTTAACAGCAGGTTGGGATGAACTTGAGTGCCATCGTGTTTATAACTTCTTATGTGAGTTGACTAATCTCTCCCGCAAGATGCAGACTGTTGTCTATAGCAAACCAGGTAAAGAACTTCAATTCACAGATAATATTATACAGAAATTAAAATAGAAAAAAGGGCAGAGTTCAAAATGTATTTAAAAACAAATTATGAAACTGAGTTCATAATTTTGTTTAGAATTACGCCTGTAATCCTAGCTATTTTGGAGGCTGAGATGGGGAGGATAGCGGTAAGGCCAGCCAGGGCAAAAAGTTCATGAGACTCCATCTCCAAAATAGCCAGAGAAAAATGGACTGGAAGTGTAGCTCGAGTGGTAGAGCACCTGCTTTGCAAGCATGTTGCCCTGACTTCAAACCTCAGTCCCACAAAAAAAAAAAAAAATCCCATACATATATGACTGGTGCCTGGCCATATATTTATTCTTTATGATTACATGCAAATATAAAAAGGTATAAACATAGTTGGAACTGGGCACTGGTGGCTCACGCCTATAATCCTAGTTACTCGGGAGGCAGAGATTAGGAGGATTTTGGTTTGAAGCCAGTCCTGGGGAAATAGTTCACAAGATCCTATTTCGAAATAATAGAAAAAGACTGACCATGCAGTTCTTCCCTGTGCCTCCACCTGCAAAGCCAATTACTTAAAATAAATCAATATTATATTCTCTCTCTCTCTCTGTCTCTCTCTATCACATATACACACACACTGATAATATATATATATGATCTCCTTCCTGATGGTTGTTTCTCTAGAGAAACTTGAGTAACATAAGAGGGACAAAAACTAAGTTCAAGATAGTGATTGCTTCTGGGAAGAAAGGGGGAGAGGCATTGGAATTAATGTATAAGAAGCTTCACATCTGTAATGTTTCATTTATTTTTTAAAAATCTGATGTAAACAGCAAAATGTAGAGCTTTAAGAAAGCTAGGTTGATTCACATACCATATTTGTTATTATACTTCTGCTTTTCTAGTCTTGAATATTTCATTGTAAAACAAATTATGGATCAAAAGGGTAGAGTATTTATTTGCTTGTTTATCTATTTAAGACAGAGTCTCACTGTGAAGCCCAGGCTAGGCTACCCTTAAACTTGTGATCCTCCTGCTCAGCCTCCTGAAAAAATGTAGATTTAGAAACCCAATGAATTAATAACACAACTAATTTGTTATGTTCCTCATTTGATCAAAAATTTTTAGGGTTGGGAGTGGCTCAAGTAGTACAGCAATAGAATGTCTGCTTTGCAAGCACAAAGCCCTGAGTTCAAATCCCAGTCCCACCAAAAAATGGCTAAAATTAAAGGTTTATGTTATATATTTTACCACAATTTTTAAAAAAATTAATGCCATATCAAAAATAATTAAGTCATGCACTTTATTTTTTGGTGCTGGAGACTGAACCCAAGACCTCATGTATGCCAAGCATGTGCTGTATCACTAAACTACACTCCCAGCACAATTGTATACTTTAAAAAAAATATTTATTTATTTTATGGTGCTAGAGATCGAACTCAGTCTCTTACATGCTAGGGAAGTGCTCTACAATTGAACCACACCCTCAGCCTCCAAATTATATACTTTAAATGGCAGAATTCAGCACATAAACAAATGATGAGGAATTGTATGGTATATAAATTATATTTCAATAAACTCTTCATTTTTTGTGGGACTGGGGATTGAACTCATAACCGTGCACACCCTATTCAAGTGCTCTACCACTTGAACTATGTCCCCAGCCCTCAATAAACTGTTTAAAAAATACAGATACCATTTTATATCCATTAAGATGACTACAATAAAAGTTAGTTAACAAGTGTTGGTAAGAATGTGGAGACATTAGAATCATCATACCTTGTTAATTGAGAATATAGAATACTGCAGCCACTTTGGAAGAGAGTCTGGCAATTCCTCAAATGATAAACAGTTACCATAAGACCCAGCAACTCCACTGCTAGGTATATCCCCAAGAGAAATGAAAACATTTTCACACAGAAACTTGTATACAAATGTTAACAGTAGCATTATTTGTAATAGCTAAAAGTAGCAACAACTCAAATATCCATCAATGGGTAAATGGATAAATAAAAGGTGGTATATCTATACAATGGAATATTAGTTGGTTATTAAAAGGAATGAAGTATAAATATATATTTTTTCCCTTTTTTTTTTTGCAGTACTGGGGCTTGAATTTAAGGCCTACATCTTGAGCCACTCCACCAGCCCTTTTTTGTGATGAGTTTGTTTTTTTTTGACATAGGGTCTTGTGAACTATTTGCCCAGTTTGGCTCTGAACCATGATCTTCCTGATCTCTGGAGAGCCTCCTGAGTAACATGTGTGAGCCACTGGCACCTGGCAACTTTTTTTTTTTTTTTGACAGTACTGGGGTTTGAACTCAGGTAGACAGGTACTCTACCACTTGAGCCACTCTGCCTGTCTCTGATATACTTTGTAGCATAGATGAACCTTGCTAAGTGAATACAAATAAATACTATGATAAGTGAAACAACCCAGACACAAAATACTGTATAATATATTTATTTCATTCATAATGAAAATCCAGAATAGTGAAATTATAGAGACAAAAACTAGATTATTGGTTGCCTAGGGCTAAAGACCCAATTTCTGATCATTATGTTAACCACAATGGTTAATACATTGCTCTGATTGCTATCTGACATGCAATTCACCTTTCCAGAAAAGTGATTTATAGTTGTTTTATCTTCATAGGAAGTGTCCATAAACTGGAGCTAAGGATCAGATTGTTCTGCAGGAATGTCTTGCTTGACCACTGGACACATCAAAGTGATTCTGCTTTTTGGTTGACACGAATATTAAAACCATGGCCAATGGTGAATCAAGCAAGATTGCTGTATATCATCTTTGGCCCAACATCTCCTCAGGATGGTGAGTACTGATTTTTCTGGGATGTATGTTATATAACTGGTTAATTACTTTTGCTTTAGAAAGCCTTTCTTTTTGTATCTGCTTGGTTTCATCATTTCTAATGACTAAACTATGTCTCATGATTTCATAGATGTTATTCTGTATTAATTTGCACACAACCTAAGTTTCAAGACAGAAATTATTCTGCTTTGGGCCATTACCAAATATGCCTTTATCATCTATGGTTTACCTTTCCAATTTTAAATGTTATTTCAATTTAAGGTAATGTTTTGCTGCTGTAGGGGACTAATAATGCTAAGAAGCAAAATATTGATCAGAATTTTCACTTAATTTTAAATGCATGGTCTGATTTTTTACCTAGTTTGCTCAGATTAATGTTAAAATTATCATGCATTTCTTTAGTCCACCTTCACTTATATCAGAGGTAACCAGTTTAAAGTGTGTTGAGTAGCAGCTGAGAGTCGATCTGAGATTACAATTTTGTGTATAATTTACAAAGAGAATTGGCCTTAGGTAAATAACCAAAAATTTACTGAATTACTCTGATTTGATAATAAATGTTTTGAAAGATACTCAAAAATAGTATGCTCTGTTTTGGAAGAATATCAATAGTTTTTTTGTTTTGTTTTTTTTAGTAAAATTATACCAATTGCTTATTCCAATTTCTGTTATGGACTAATGTCATTCTTTAACTAAAAGCACTATTCTTCATGGTCAGACCACCTTTTCTCTTTGTTAGCTATTGTTGTGTTTTTATCACATCAGTAAGAAACATTCAAATTTATGCTGTTATCAGAATTGATGTTTTATAATGAAAGTAGATTATATAAGTAATGGGATTCCCTTATGCAATCCAATTTCTATTTTAAACAATCAGGGAAGTCTTTGCCACAAAATCAACAGTTTTGTCATAGCCTAGTTTTTGTTTCAATCCAGGACAGGTGGTTTGGCAGAAAATGATAGAAGGACCTACAGATGAATCCAGTCTGAAAGGTTTGGCTGATGCCATTAAATTACTTTATGACACAGGCACCAAAGAGTGGACAGCAGATGATATTATCAGTCTTGTAGAAGAACTATCAGGTAAAAATATGTATTTGCTAACATAGGGTAGTAAAAATGCTTTATTAGAATATAGTTATAAAACTGTAAGGATAATAATGCAGATATAACAAATGGAGTACCTATTAGAAATCACTAACTTCTCTAAAAGTTTGACATCATTTTTGAAGAGAATACATTTAATCAACTTTCTTTCAATTCTTTATTTTATAAATATATATTTATTACCATTATTTGAAAACTTCATAGTTTAATTAGTTTGTTCCCATTTTGCAAGTTCTCAGAAACACCCTTGTAGGCTATTTTTATAGAAAGCCCTCTCCTGCTATTACAGGAGAGGTGAAACAATTTGCTTCAGAGTCTAAAGTTTACAAGGGATTTTTTTTTCTTGCAATAGATTAGACCACTTTGCCTGCTGACACATGCATAGGAGAATTGCTTTGATATATTACTAGTACAGTTGTTAAAGCCTCCATGACATGGCAATAATCTCTGTCTCTGATTGAATGCTGTAATTGAAAAACTAAAGCATTTTTTTCTGTGTGTTTCCCTTGGTGCTAATTGTATTTCCAGTAAGCAATATAATATTTCATATATTTAAAAATATTTACTATAGCTATTGTGTAATTTCTCATCAAATAATTGTTCTTCTTCTAATAAAAGTGGTTCCCCGGGAGTGGCTTCTAGAGAATAATGCACATCTCCTAATCCTAAGTGGGAATAACATCTGTTTCACTTTCATGGCTAGTAAAGCTGTGAATGGACAGGCCTTTGAACTGGCAAGGCTCATAGTTTTTTTGGCTTTGGTAAGTAAAAAGTAAGTTTTTCTCTAGTTGTTTAACATTACAATTGATTTACCAGAAGAGCTGGGTTTGTAGCTCAGTAGCAGAGCCTCTTGCCTGTCATGCCCTGATCAGGCCCTACGTTCCATCCTCAGCACTAAAAAACAAAACAAAAACTAACTTACCAGGAAGCTGTTCTGAAGGAATTGAAAGATGGACAAAATATTATTTTGAAAGAATAACTATTGAAGTATATGTTTTTGGCTTTTTTAAGAGTGTTTGCCTAGAATCTGTGAGGCCTTGGATTCAATCCCCAGCAGCACACACCCACACACCCACACACCCACACAAAGAATACAATGTATGCAATAAGCATTAGTATTTTAAATCATTTCTTATACCAAGTTCTTCACATCTAGATTGTCATTATATAGTTCTGCTTAGTTATCTGGGGTTTTTTATTTGTTTCTTTGTTTTGTTTTATGTGCTGGGGATGGAACCCAGGGCCTTGTATATAGTGAGTGTTCTCTCACTGACCTGTACTCCTTGCCCAAAACTCTATTGTTAAAAAATCATCCCTTTTGGTTTGCCTCAAAATAATGTGGAAGTGGGGAAAGTATATAGGGATAAGTGTGGGTAGAAATTGGTAATTGTTGAAGCTGAGAAATAGGTACTGGAGATTCATTATATCGTTTTTGCTACCTTTGCATAAAATGGTTTTGTTTGTTTTTAGAGTCCTGGGGATCACCAGGGCCTTAAGAATGATAGGCAGGTACTCTTATCATTACTGTCCCAGAATAAGGTATTTTTTGAAATAAAAAGTTTTATGAATGTATTTAATATTTAACACAAATATATTGAGGGATTACTGTGAGCTATAAACTATGGATGATTCCAGAACTATGGAAATTAATTGACAAATTTCTGACCACAAACTGTTTATAATTTTTTTAAATATCAAGAAATGTATATATATATATACATTTTTAAATATAATTTTTTAAATATCAAGAAATATATATATATAAATTCAATGAGATAAGTTCAAAAATATGTATACAAAAAGAGGTAGCAGAGAATGTCAGGTGAGAGGACAAAGGCCTTCCCCAAACTCAGTAGATAAAGGTTTTAAAAAATCACTAAGGAGCTGGGGACGTAGCCTAGTGGTAGAGTGCTTGTCTAGTATACCCAAGGCCTGAATTCTAGCCTCAGAATTGCCTAAATAAATAAATAAATAAATAAAAGTTGGAGGATGTTGCCAAGTTAAATGAGTAACAGGGAACTATTTAGGGGCAGCAGAGAAATGGAATTGAATGGCTACATTCAGGGCTTTATAGGCAGTTTAGTTATTTCCTTCCCCCATCAAACCCAGGGCCTTGAGCATGATAGGCAAGCATTCTGTCTCTGAGCTACATCTCCAGACCCCAGTATTATTATTATTACTATTACTATCATTCTTCTTATTATTTTAAGCAACTGAGTTAGCTGCTTTTTCTTCTTTTTTTAACATGGCAATGGGGTCTAAATTCATGGCCTTGTGCTTACAAGGCAGATACTCTACTACTTGAGCCACATCCCAGTCCCTATTACTATCATCACTATCATCGTTGTTGTTGTTTTCTTCTCCTCAGTATTATTTTTGAAGGATAAAATGTGCAGAAGAGGAGCAGCTGGAAATAGGGTTAGATGGGAAGGGAGAGGCTAGGTTAAGAAAGAGCCTTGTAGGCCATTCTGTGAGCTTGAACACAGCTTCTAATGGGAAAATGCTGAAAAGTTTTAAGAAGGAGAGAGACATTATCAGTAGTGTGTTTTGAAAAAGTCACTTTGGTAGCACTGTAGTGAATGGAGAAAAAAATCACTATGTGTGGAGTCACTTTGGTAGCACTGTAGTGAATGGAGAAAAAGTCACTATGTGTGGAGAAGCTTTCTCTAGAAAGCTTCCTCTGATTAATATCTCAAGTCTGTTCATTAATGTTCTTTAAATTGCCTCCCATTTGTCTTCGCTTTATCTTCATTTACTATTAGTGTTCTTAAGCCATTTTATGTATGGGATAAATCAATTCCCAAAATTGACTTATTCCCACTTACTTCTTTCATAGTATCCAGTACAGTAATTTATATATAATAGTCAATAAATTTTCCTGTCAGATAAACATTATTTAGTTACATTAATATATAGTCTATTTTCACATTGACTTTTTTTATTTGGCTATGTGCATTAAATTAACCATTTAGAATGTTAGTAAATAAATCTTTAACCTTTCAGACAACTTTAGCTAGGAACATATAATCTTTAAATAATATAGCAACAATTATTTCCTAAAACTCTCAAGATGAAAAGTTGATAATACTGAAGAGTTCTCTTGCCTACTGAAATTGTTATTTGCCTGTCATCTTCATTGAACTCTTTAAAAATAAAACTATGTCTTTTTTTCTATTTTTCCCATGGTACTGGGAATGAAACCCAGCACCTCACACATGCTAGGCAAGTGTTCTACCACTGAACTATACCCTCAGCACCAAGCCATGTCTTTAATGACTTAATATAGCTCCAGCTTTTAGCAAATACTCAATAAATGTTTATAGAGTGAATGAGCAGAAAGTCATGTTTTTCATATATTCAATACTATTTTTAATATCAATTCTTATATTAATAAACAATACTCTGATAATCTTCAGCCAGGCTTTTATTTACTTAATGCTTTTTTCCACTAAAACTTCATGATTTACAAGCAAAGGAGTATTAGATATGAGAGCATTTCCCTTGCCGGGCACCAGTCACTGGCTCATGTCTATAATCCTGGCTACTCAGGAGGCAGAGATCAGAAGGATCATGGTTCAAAGCCAGCCTGAGCAAATAGTTGTCAAGACCGTATCTTGGAAAAACCCATCACAAAAAAGGGCTGGTGGAGTGGCTCAAAGTGTAGTCCCTGAGTTCAAGCCCCAGTGCCACGAAAAAAAGAGCATTTCCCATTTACAAACTCAGTAAGCTGTCATATGTAATAAGTTATGTTAAATCATAAACCATCATTGTCAATACCATTTTCAAATTCTACAGCTTTCTTCACATGAAGGTTTACGATAATGCTTTGTATGTCTAAATCAGGTGTGTGAGAAAGAACTATACTGCATGGATTGGGCAGTTAAAATGATGCAAAAAGTCTGTAAAGTCTTCAGCACTCCAGTGGAAAGAAATAACTTCCTGCAGAATGTAGCAAATGCATTTGCCTGTGTAACAATGGAAATGCTGCAGTCGATTATGTCTGGTAAGTAGGAATGTAGATGCACAGATGTGAGTAAAAGTACCTTCTTGTTAACTTCTGTGTATAGCAGTATTTCTAAAGTAACAATAGGAAGAACAGACACTTTTCTTTTTCTGTGAGATATGTTTATTTCTTGGCTTCTGCCACTTTTTTTTTCCGGTACTGGGACTTGAACTCAGGGCCTATACCTTGAGCCACTCCACCAATCCTTTCTTGTTAGGTATTTTTGACATAGGGTCTCACAAACTATTTGCCCAGGCTAACTTTGAACCTCGATCCTCCTGATCTCTGCCTCCTGAGGAGCTAGGAATACAGGTGTGAGCCTCTGGTACCCAGCTTGCCATTTTTTTTAATTCTTTTTTTTTTTCTTACTTTTTATTAGCATATAGTTGTACATGGAGGATACATTGTAACATTTACATATCTGCTTACAAAATATCTTAATTAGATTCACGCCTCCAGTCATTTTCCCTCATCCTCCATCCCCCCTTCTTAGAACAATTTCAACAAGTTTCATTATTCTATTTTCATACACTAATACAAAATATACTTACTATATTTGTCCTCCTTGACCCTCTCCTTTTACCCTCCCTCTGCACAATGGTTACCCACCCTGAACTTATTTTTACCTTACTGTCCTTTTTTTTAGTACTAGGGATCAAACTCAGGGCCTCATGCATGCTAGGCAAACACTTAATCACTATATCACCCAGCCTGTCCTTTATTTTTTTAACTATTCAAGGGGATTTTGCCTTGGTGTTTCAATTAGTGTGCTTTAATTAGATTAACCCCTTCTATTTCTTCCTCTTTCTTTATCACCCTGCTCCCCTATTGTTCAAAGCTTACAATGCATTGCATTATATTATCTTCATACACAGATGCAATGTGTTTCAAGATTTTTGACTCTCTAGCATTCTCTTTCCCTCTCCTGTCTCCCTATAGTTCCCTCATTCTGTCACTTTTAATATCTGATATTGGTTTCAATAGAGAACATAAAGTAGGTCTGGAAGAGTGGCTCAAGTGGTAGAGCACCTGCCTACCAAGTGTGAAGCCATGAGTTCAAACTTCAGTACAAAAAAAAAAAACCTCAAAAAAAAAAAAAAGAGAGAGAGAGAGAGAGAGGAAGAATGTAAAGGTGAAGAGTCTTCTCTGGAAGGAACCAGTTTCAGTTATGCACAAGAAATTTTAATTGGCTCACTTACAAAATATCATAGGTTTCATAATAATATCTTATGTTGTATAGATTTCAACAAATAAAATTTTATAGTTTTTTTAGGTGTGCAGCATGAGAATTAACCCTGCTTTACAGATGAGAAAAATAAGGCTTAGAGAAATTACCTGACTTGCCTCAAGGTCATAAAGTCAGAAGTAATAAAGCACGGACCAGCATCATTTTCCTTTGATTTCTAATCTAGTGTTCTGATATAATTCCATGATTTCAGTGGTTATTGTCTGATTTTGTAAAGGTCACTAACACAGTCTTCTGTTTAAATACTATTACAAACCATTTGGACATCTTATGTTTCTAAGTCATATATTTAAGTTTTTTAACTTTTTCTTTTTCCTACTGTCTATTCCTGTCTTTGACATATAGGAGATCGTGATGAGGATGACAGAAGCTTTCTGAATTTGTTCTATCTCGTACATGCTCAGGCTAATTTCCATAAAGAGGTTCTATATTTAACTATAAATACTGTCTCTTCATAAATACTCAGAAAATATCATTGAACATAACACTTAGAAGAATACTACCTTTTTATACCTGAAGATAGCAACTATGGAGCTTTTCATCATCCAGGTAACCTAAAAGTTCTGAAGCACTATAGGATTTTAGAAACGCCTTCACCATTATTAACATTAAAATAACAGGCAAAACCAAGACTATGTTGCAGTTTCTCAAGAAAATAAGCTCTGCCTCTCCAGGTTTTGGTGAACCCAACACCAAACTGAAATGGGATGCTAACTGTCCAAGAATCTAAGCCAGCCCAACCTGTTTGTGTAGGATTTTGAAGCAAGAGACAGTTTTGTTTTATGGTTAGAGCAGATCCAAAATTTAACCATTTAGATCCACTAAATAGTAGAATATGTTCATTTTGCTTAGGTTGTGCAAACATAGCCCATAATATTTTGTAAAGATTTGCAATATGGTGTTTTGCAATGTGTAGAATGTAAATCACATTCTTCTTTACCACTTTCTTGGCATATGATTACAAAGAATGTCATATTATATTCATGTTTTGCATGAACTAACAGATAAAAAATCCAAAAAAAGTATATGTGTGTATATATACAGGCAAACACACCTGTATTTCCTTCAAGACAATCACACAAAAGGTCTCTAAATAGAGGAAAGTATATATTGTCTTAGTACAATCAAATCATCTTTTATACTTTCTTGAGGATCACAGTAAAATATATAATGAAAGAAAGTAGAAAATTATTCCACTGTCAGAATAATCTTCACAAGTAATTTTCCCTTCTTCCTAATGCTATTCTCCATATTCAAAAAGCAGAGTTTGTTTGACAAAGGGAGCTGGAAGTATGGATGGTTAGAATAGCCCATGAGAGTGGGTTTCTTTTTAATCAAGTCAGTGGATTCCAAGAAGCTCCAGGACTATTTCAGTAGGCTTAGCATCTACCACCACCACTTTTACTGTTAAAGTAGGTAACAATAGTGCCTCATTGAACTGACACAATCCAGGAGGCTCCTTGATTTCTCATTTCCTCTTCTTGTCCCTGCCTCACATCAAACCCAGAGCCTTGCACATGCTAGGCAGGCACTCTGTCACTGAGCTGTATCCTCAACCATTGGTCACTTTCCTTCTTGGCAGCCACTTTCTCACTGGACTTCTCAGAGGTTAGCTTTATTTTCCCAAGCCCTTGATTTAACTCACCTCTGAAGCTGATGGAAATATAGAAGTTACTTGTAGAAAAGGGGTGGAAATTCTTGAATTTTGGCAAAAAAAGGCTCAGTGAGAGATTTGATAGGGCTGAGGAACAGTAAAAATTGTGGAGAAAATAAAAAAATTGTGAAAACAGAATTTAACAATACTTCACTATTAAAACACCTTCAGTTTTGGGGGGTCAGAAATTAACTGCCTTCCTCTTATTGTTCAACTGTAATTCTACTGGTGGGAGGAACTTTTTTTCCTCCAGAGTTTATCACTTGCAGATTTATGCAAAAATAAAGTTCTTGCTTTTTTTTTTATTAACTCAGGGCCTCACACTTTCTAGGCAGGCACTGTACCACTTGAGCCACTCTGTTAGCACAGAGTTCTTGCTTTTATCCTGGTGTCATTTTTTTCTACTCAGTTTAAGAATTCACCCATAACTTTGCTCAGTAGTAAAGGCAGATTCCAGAGTACAAAGTAAAGTAACACTTTAATTAGCTTTTCATTTTCCTCCTGTCTCTCGTTTACCATACCTACTTCCTAATAGATTTATTTATCAAAATACTAGTGATTCAAAGTTGAGATTATTTTGGAGGGAAAGGAAAAAATTTAAAAAGTAAAAATGTTAATATAAATAGGAAATTTAAAAACATTTTACTAAATAAATACTGTTTCATTTTCTTACAGAAATAAATTTGGCACTATAAAGTTATCTTGAACTCCTTGAATTATCCAAGTTTTCAAAGCAGTTATTTTCAGCAAGTTTACAAAAGACATATGGCTTAATTTAAGATATCTTTGATCTTGATTTTAAATTTTGTCTCTTTGTTGGCATGACTTGCTGTTATGAATTCTTTTAAATTCACATTACTTTATCAATCTCAGTAATGATGGGATTATTATTTCCTCTTCCCCAGAAACTTGAAATATAAAAATTTTTATATATTCTTTGGGTACAATAGATAAATGTACCCAAGTATCATTTTGCTGTCACTAAAAAGTAATCTGAAAAATTCTTCAATTATTAATAGATATAATATTTGTGACCAAATTTGCAATTTCCACAATTCAGTGGTCCAGTTTTTTGCTGAAGGAATAAAGTGTTATATTGAATTTTAAAGTGGGAAGTTAACTTGCAAAAGCATTTGTTGTTATTATTAGTACTGATGTTTAAGTGATGACATGGGCAGTCATATTGCCACAAAAAAGGAGCATTTGCAAAATGAATAGCCTAAAACACTAGAAAGCCATCAATCTTTAACTCTAAAAGAGTCATGGTAACAGATATGTAAACTACTAGCCCGTCAGATAATTTAGCTGTCCCTTTCTCTAAACTGTAAGATTGACCTATATTAGAAGATCCAGGCTCCCAGTTTTTTCCCCTTTTTATAGTGATTTCCTCACTCTCCTTTGGCTTTGGCTTGTAGGCTGATTTTTTTTTTTTTTTTTTTTTTTTACTTTTACTAGAAAGCAAGCTTAGTAACACATCATTACATTTCTCTTTATCACTGTTTCTAAACATATACCATACCATAATAGCTTAACGACGGGCTTTTCTTAGACACTAATTTAATGTTTATATCTTGTGATAAATACTCTCTACCTTATGAGACAATAGAACATCTTTCTTTAACACTTTCTGGATAATTTCTTCTGTTCTCTTACTGTGGGCAGTGAGTGGTAGTTCAGATGTCAAGCAGCTCAGCATTGCTTATCAGGCTGTTTTCCATAGTGTAAACAACAGGCACCAGCTTCACACTTTTCCCATCCTATGTTGGCCCAATTTATGCTTCCAGTTCTCTGGTTAAGCAAAGATTTTATTGTCAGGATAATTATTCACCTTTGGAGATGAGCACAAGTTTGAGGAACCCAGCAGAAGGTGCAAGTGGCAGAACCATGTTATGTCAATAAAAAATAAACACACTACCTTTGTGTAATTGCTACTAAAGAGTCAGCCTCTTTATATGAATAGCACTCAGTTATTTGATTACAGATTTTTATGTCAATACGTATTATGAAGAGCAAAAGAAGTAAAGCTGCTACGGCAGTCTGTTTGGTTACTGGAGCCCTTATTAACAGGACTTCTATAGCAATTCCACCAGCAGGAAAAGCTGGGCATCCTGTAAGAAACCAAGATATGGGCATATGCTCCTTGACTTATCGAGGCATTACCCATAGGAAAGATGACCTGAAACACAGCTGGATGGGACAGTTTTACCCAGGTTCAAAGAAAAGGTGCCAAAGGACTAAGAACATATTTTTTTAAATCAAGAAAAAAAATATACCTCCACAAAATTTGTCAAGTAACTAAAGACTAAAAAGAAAAACACCACACTAACTGGCCTTGAAAGGATCTTATATTTGAAAAAAAAAATTATAGACATTCTAAGATCATTGCTTTCTTAAAGATGCATAAAACTTAAAAATGTGCATTGTTTTTTCAAAAGTATTATATTTGTGGTAAAGTGTCTTTGATGCATAAATATTTAGTATCTGCTAAATCTTATTTAATTTGCTATTTATATTAATAAAATTAAGTTAAAATTAGAAACATTTTCAAATTGTTTAGTTTGTCATTATGCAAGTCACTGAGATTTTTGGGGAATCTATCTTTATTAAAGCTGTTAATTATAACTCTACTATGATAAAAAAATGAATTTTCTCTTTTTCTTTGTGGTGCTGGGGATTAAACCCAGGACCTCACAAAGCTAGACACACACTAATACTGAACTATACCCCCGGTCTTCATGAATTATCTTAATAAAATATTGCAATCAGCTTTATACTTTACTATATGTATACTGATCCTTTTTTTAAAATTATTTTATTGTTTTTACATTTACTCACACATGTTTACATTGTTTGGGCCACCTCCTCCCCCCCATACACACACTTATCCTTAATATCATAGCATATTAGAATTAAATGATTTCACTTACTAGCAACTATCATAAGTAGAATAGTAATCTGTAGGTAGAACGGTATTCTCTACCATTCTCCTATTTAATTTGGAAATCAAATCCCTAAGGAATTAATATTCCAATTGCTGCTGAACTAGAAATGTTGTAATTATCATAGTTTAATACTAGTTCCAAACCCAAAAAAGTAATCAAGTACTGTGGATTATCTGCAATTTCCCATGGCTACTAGATCAATTTTATAGTGTTTTCTAAGAACAAAGAAGTTCTTAAATATTTTTCATGTATCTGATTTATAATGGAAGTTGTATCAATGGCTTTTTCTATTTCCTTCTTTACATATGGCTTTGACTTTCTTTTTTTTTCTTTGCTGTACTGGGGCTTGAAAACTCAGGGTCTTCACCTCAAGCTACTCTACCAGCTCTATGTTTGTGAAGGATTTTGAGACAGGGTCTCTCAGAACTATTTCCCAAGCTGGCTTCAAACCTTGATCCTATTATAATCTCTGCCTCCTTTTTTTTTTTTTCTTCATTTTTCTTTTATTATTCATATGTGCATACAAGGCTTGGTTCATTTCTCCCCCCTGCCCCCACCCCCTCCCTTACCACCCACTCCGCCCCCTCCCACTCCCCCCCCTCAATACCCAGCAGAAACTATTTTGCCCTTATCTCTAATTTTGTTGTAGAGAGAGTATAAACAATAATAGGAAGGAACAAGGGGTTTTGCTGGTTGAGATAAGGATAGCTATACAGGGTATTGACTCACATTGATTTCCTGTGCATGGGTGTTACCTTCTAGGTTAATTCTTTTTGATCTAACCTTTTCTCTACTACCTGTTCCCCTTTTCCTATTGGCCTCAGTTGCTTTAAGGTATCTGCTTTAGTTTCTCTGCATTAAG